GCAGTGCCTGGCCTTCGATAAACATTCTCCAGTGCACAGATCAGCCTGGCATCCCAGGTTAGGTTCAGAACTCAGGGGGACTCAGCCCCCTCCCCTTTCCTTGCACCCTTCCTTTGCATTAGCATCTCTGGCAGCCACAGTCCCTGTGACTCACCCTGGATCCTCATTAAAGACCCCAGCCTGGTCCCCAGGAGGCCTTGGGAGCAGGCATGTCCCTCTCCAGCTGCCATCTACCCTGCCAACCTCATCTTCCAGAGTCCTGGACTCAGGCCTCTTTCCAACTGCCCATTCCTGAAAGTCTAACTCACAATGACTTAAAAAGATTTTTGAATTAAAAGATATGCTTCCAATGGACATTTTATTGTGTAGAAGGGCTATAATGTAAAGTTAAGTACAGCTAGCAGGTAAGAGCATGGGCCATAGAATCAGGGAAACTGGGGCTCCTTTTCTGCCACACAGAAGCTATGCAATCATGGGCAAGTTGCTTTATGTCTCTGGGCCTGTTTCCACATTTGTAAAATGGAGATAATAATAGTTTCTACCTCCTTGGGGAATAGCATTAAATGAGAAAATGCATGTGAAGTGCACAGTATAGGGGCTAGAACACAGTAAGAGTTTACTCATTGTTTAATAGCAGTAACACTCCCTTATTTGCACAGTGTTTTGCAGTTTTCAAAGCAACCCCCTAGGCCAAAAGGAGGAATTCAGAGAGAGGGGTCAGGACTCCCACACCCACCCCAGGGTCACAGGGGTAGAGGCATGGGCCTGCAGGGTTTGACACCACAGTGCTTGGCTGGGGCTCTGTCCAGGAGAAAGCCCCCACCCACTGCCCAGGAGTGTGATTCCTGGCTATACATCCACATGAGAGCCAGCTGGAGCCACACAGGTCTCCGTGTGTCCGCATCACCACAACAGCACCTGTCCCTCTCAGACTGTCTCCAGGAAGTCCTTAGATGTGGCCACAAAACAGGATAAGGTGGACTAAGAAAGGCAAGTAAAAGGCCACAAATACAAAGACGGCTACCTCAAAGGAAAGGGGAGGTTGTGGTGGGTGCTTTTGCAGAGCCAGCTGTGTTCTATTTCTTGACCTCTGTGACAGCTGCACGGGTGTTTGCGTTATAGATATTTATTATATTGTACGTTTCCATCTTATGCACACTTCCGAATGTACACTGTATTTCACACTGGTATACAATATAAGCCAAGTCCTTTCTACTCTCTGCCTCTGTTTCCTCATCTGCAAAATGGAATATCAGGTAGCTCCCCCAAAAGCCCTGACACCGTGGTACTATTTGTATCATCAGTTTAGAGGACAGTGAACAGACTCAGGGAGGTCAGATGCCTGCTCAAGCTCCCCAGCCAGATAGAGCAGGCACTTAACCCAGAATGTATGCCGTATTTCATATGGTTTTAATAAACTGACAGTTTATTAAACTGGTGTGTGGGGGGAGGGAGTTAACGCAGGTCAGCTTTACATAGTGCAAATGCCAGGGGATGCCAGGGGAGGTGTCCCAGAGGCTCCGGTTCAGAGGTGGGGCTGAAGAGCTGCCACATAGAGAGTCAACAGGGTCACCTGGGGGGCCTTTAGCACAGCTACAGGTTCAGAAGGTGTCTTTCCTGTTAGGCTTCTGGCAGCCCTTCTGGCTATTCTCCCTAATTCCCCTCCTGGTAGGTAGATGGTGCTGCTGAGAGCAGACGGCTGGGAGTCTATTGACACAGGCTGTCATTTTATTTATTTATTTATTTATTTAATATTTATCTTGTTTAATCTTCACCCAAGGATACGTTTACTGATTTGAGCGAGAGAAAGCGAATAAAGAACATCCATGTGAGAGACGAACATCAATCAGTTGCCTCCCCTATGTGCCTTGACTGGGGATCAAACCCACAACCTAGGTATGTGCCCTGCCTGACCAGGAATCAAACCCACGGCCTTTTGGTGCATAGGATGATGCGCCAACCAACTGAGCCACCTTGCCAGGGTGGCTGTGTCATTTTAGGTGACTGACTTCTTGGGCCTCTGTCTTCCACTTAAATTTTTTTTTTAATTTATTGATTTTAGAGAGAGAGGTGACAGAAGAAACAAAAACACTGATTTGTTGTTCCACTTATTTATGCATTCATTGGTTGATTCTTGTATGTGCCCTCACTGGGGATCAAACCCACAACCTTGGCTTATTGGGAAGATGTTCTAACCAACTAACTGAGCTACCAGGCCAGAGCTGTCTTCCACTGTTAACACCCCAGCTGTCACCTTGTCCTAGGCTTCTAGCTCTGGCCCTCAAAGTTGCTCCTCTATGCGGAGGCTGGGCCATGTCCACTCAAGCCTGGAGCAAAGGGTAGCCTAGTCCTGGCTCCACCAGGAGGAGCTCTGTCAGCCCCGAAGTGATCCATGTGCTCTCAGGCCTGCCCTGCTTGTTTGGGGCTGGGGGTGAGCTGAGGGGACAGCTATGCTGGGGGTTGGGGTGGTGGCAGTGCAGGGTCTGCGGGTGCCCAACTGGGCCCAATCCTCGTCCTGAGCAGTGTTAAGCTGGCCCAAGGTCCCTGGCTGACTGACATTTCCCACAGGCCCATGCCAGCACCCAGGCAGCTTGGCAGTGGTGGTGGGCACCGGCATTCCCTCTGGAAGTGGCCAAGCAGGCACCCAGCCTTTACCTCCCACACAGCTCTTCCTGGTCTCCCCGCCTGCCTCCTCCTGAGCCAAGCTTCTCTGGCACCCTGTGGGGGTGGGCTGAGTGTCTGTATGACTGGGTCTGCGTAGGGGGCCCTCAAGTCTAAAGCAGACACCTTGGGCCCAGACCGGTGTAGGGCAGGCAAAGAGCAATGCAGTGTCTGAGGTCACTAGGCCTGTTGCTGCCAGAAGTGTGTGGAGTAGCAGAGAGAGGACTGTGGAGTGGGGCTGTGGCTGGAGACTACCTGGCTTCAAATTTCAGCCCTGCTACTTAGGAGGTGTACAATCTAAGCCAAGTCCCTTCTACTCTCTGCCTCTGTCTCCCCATCTGCAAAATGGAGTATCAGGTAGCTCCCCCCAAAGCCCTGGCACCGTGGTACTATTCGTATCATCAATTTAGAGGACAGTGAACAGACTCAGGGAGGTCAGATGCCTGCCCAAGCTCCCCAGCTTGATAGAGCAGATACTTAACCCAGTCTGAATCTGAGCCCAGCACCCAGCCTGGTAACCATGAGGCCATGAGCTTCCCTCCATGAAGACCAGTGCTGGTTGCCACAGGGAAGAGCAAGTGGCAGGCAGGAAATCCTTCCCTGGGGAGCCTGAGTGAACCATCCCAGCTGCCCCCAGGCTGTCGGGTGGCTGGGGCCAGGAGCCACACCTGAGCCATTCCCAGCAGCCAGTGGAAGGTCCAGTGTCCTCCAGGACTCCAGGTTACAGCCTATGCCAGGCAGGGCAGGAGGCGGCATGTAGAGTGCTGTGTTAGGGCATTGGACTGACGGGACCCAGCAGGAACCTTGTGCAAAGATGGGTCTGTCGGAGGAGCTGGGTGCTGGGGGGCATAGTTTTGAATGTGTGTGTGCGCACAGACGTGCATGCGCTCAGGTAAGCATAATTCCTGAGTGGGGGTCCTTTTGTGTGGGGAGAGAGAGCAGCAAGAGTGTAGCCCGAAGGCGGGTGGGAGGAAAGGTGCAGGCACAGCTCAGTTCTGGGGGGACTACAGGTGAGGGGGCACCTGGAAAAAGACCTGCATTCCACAGGTGGCTGGAGCTGTCCCCATAGCTATTGGGGGCTCCGAGGCCTCATGTAAGAAGCAAAACCCACCACCTGCTGCCCACTCCTCACTGTGGCCCCTCTCCAGGCCCCCACCCTGACAGACATTTGGCAGGCTGGACTCCTTAGCCACAGGTGCCAGGAGCGGTTGACCAGGCAGGGAGCAGGCCAGCAGACAGACAGGGTGTGGGGCCTTGTGGACTAGGGTCCAGGGGGTCTGAGTCACTGCTATCCCCAGCCAGCCCAGTGGGGCCCACAGACTCACTGGAGGAGGTAGGGGCTGGTGTCCAGACTCTCAACTCCTGGCATTTCCCAGGCCTGCCTCTCCTGTCCTCTCATGCTCCCACCAAGCCCCCTTCACCTGGCTCGACTCCATCTGCCCTCCCCCTAGGAATGGAGAGTGGTTACTAGCCCCACCCAGGTACCTTTCTTGGAATCCTAAGCCTGCAATCCTGCCCCTACCACAGCCTGAGCAGCGCCCCCCCAATACTCTGTCCCCCAAGACTAGAGTCAGTGCTGCTTATTTTAGCAAGAGATAGAGGTGAAGCTGGGAGGGCCTCCTGCAATGGGTGGGCTCTAGCAGAGCCTTCAAGAAACGGTGAGGACCCTTGGGCAGGATGACCTTGGGGTGACCCGTCCCTGTGGTCATCATCCCTTATCAAGGGAGGCTCAGGCCCACTCTTGCAAGTCCAGACTCAGTTACAAACGGCCATCTCCCAGGGTTGGATGGGATAATACTGTCTGTCTTCTTGTGGGCAAGTCTACTTGTCACATACAGTGCGCTACATTGTTTCCTGGCCACGGGCCTTGTAACACCCTGTGGCCTCTGCCTCCTTCTGCTCTCTCTCTCCATGTAACACAGTAACTCATTCTGAGTCTCCCCTGTCAGCCACACCCACATTTTTTAACCTGGCCCCTCCCTCTCCCCAGCTGTGTTAGGGCTGGGGTGCCCCCAGTGCCTGCCTGCCCCTCATCAACCGTTGGGTTAACATCTGAGCTGTTAGGCTTGGTGCCAGGACCACAGCCCCTAACAGGGGTGGAGGAGGCTTGGGGGCCAGGTGGGGGCCTTTCCCAGCTGTCAGCGCCCATGATGGATGAGGGGTGGGGCAGGGAGAAGGCCAGGAGCTGGACTCCTGCTGCTGAGGGAGGTGGGGGCTGGCGCCCTGGGCCTGCCAACAAAGCCTCTGTCACTCACAGCAGGGAGGCCTGGGTAAGTAACCCCACCCAGCAGAGGTGTTTAAAGGCTCAAAGTGTACGTGCCTTCCCACTCTGCCAGGCATCATGGGCACCTGGGCTTTCCCTGCAGCCCTCTTCCTACTCTGCCTGACTTCTGAAAGCCTACAAGGCGGTGAGGGCAGGTGGCAGGCAGCTGCGGGGTCTGGGCAGCTGGGGGTGGGGCTGGGAGTATAGGCAGAGCACTGGGTCAGAGGCTGGAGCTCCAGAGAGAGGGGATGGTTCGGTATCTGAAATCTAGGCTGGGTAGAATTTTAGGGGGCCGGGGTATAGATACCTTTGTCCTGCCCCTCTCTGTCTCTGTGCCCCACCCTGAGTTATTTCCCCCTGTTCCCCAGGGCTGCCTTCATTGTCTCCTGGCCTAGGGAAAGGTAAGTGGACCCTCCTGGCACTAGGGTCCAGAAAGAGGACCTAGTTTCTTCTCCTAGGGGCCTGGGAGCTCTCTGGGGGGCAGCCCCAAATATTCCCCAGCTCTGAGGTTCAGGTGTATGGCCCAGGAGAGCCCTGAGTCCCTCTGTCTTCCTAGCAACCAGTCTTGTCCATGGTCAGCTCAAGTGTGGGGGGCCCAGACCCACACCCTTGGAACAGAATGAAATGGGGCAGAATCGCAACTCTGGGCATGAGAATATCGGGCCCATATTCTCATGCTCAAAGGAGGAGGGGCCTGGAGCTGAGTCTTGTGGGGCAGAAGATGGGGTTGTGACAGGAAAGGGGAAGTACATCTCTAGAAGCAAGAGGATCAAAGGCCTGGAGGTGGGACAGGATGGGAGGGGAGAAGGCTGGAGCAAGGGGAAGGGAGGAGGAGGCACAGTGTCCCACGAGGGTCTTCAGGCCAGCGATCTGTGCCATCCTAAGGGTAGAAGAGGGGGCTCCCTCCAGAGACCTGATGCATCTAAGCTGCTGGAGAGAAAGATTGGGGGTCGGGGTGAGGAAGATGAAGTCTCGGGAAAGGAAGGGTCCAAAACACTCCCGTAGGAATGGAGGGGAAAGGTACACCCATCCCTGAGGAAGAGCGAGCAGACCCGCCCCAGGGACACAGCCCGCCGCCACCCCCTGTAGCCTCCTCCGGCCTGCTTACCTCCTTCTGTCCTTGCCCCTCCTGTGAACAGAGAGAAAACTGAGTTCTGGGGTGGGGTGGGGTGCACGCTTGCTCTGCAGAGTGGGAGGGAGAGCATCCAGATTGGGCCATCTTTGCCCCTCCTTAAGTTACCCCCTTCTCCCTGACCCCACAGGCTTAGGGAGCCTGAATGGCTACAGAAGAGGTAAAGTTGGCTGAGGAGTGGGGGCAGCTCCGTGTCCTCTATATGAGGGCAGAGCACCCTGGCTCCTGGCCCCTCCTGCCTCCCTTAGGCTCAAAATATCATTCCCCCCTCAGGTTATGGCCCCCCCAGCGGCCTGGGAGCAGGTAAGGGGTGGGCAAATGACAGTTGTGGTGGCGGACAGCCATCTCAGAAATACCCGGGGTCAGTGCTAACGCCCCTGAGGCAGAGAGGCCCACCTGAGACCCCTTCCTACAGACCTCCGCTTTTCCCTCCTGTACATGCTTCCCCCCACCCTCTGCCCCCAAAGAATCCATCGAGACTGTTCCGGTACCATCTCACCCATACACCCTGCCCCTCACTGCATGGCCCCTAGGCCAGTTGGGAGCAGGCTTTGTGCAGAGGTGGGTGGGTCCTGGGTCCCTCACATGCTCCCTGGGCCTCCCCAGGCTTCCAAGCCGGTGTTAAACTTCAGGAGCCAGAGTCTTGCCCAGCCCCAGCGCAGTCTGTCTGTCTGTCTGTTTCTCCGTCTTTCTCTCACACTCCTCACCTCTATCTATCCTGCCAGGATTTGGAAAGAGAAATGGCCTGGGAGTCCAGCCAGGTAAGAATGGGGTCTGGGGGTGGTCCTCTTCCTGCTCCCTCCAGGCCTTAGGGGCAAGAGGCAGGGTTGGTGCATGACTCTGGAGGGAGGGGGTGAATTGGCAGCCTTCAGGTTTGCTGCTTCTGGCTGGGTCCAAGGGTCCTGCACACCCACACCAGCTAGGACCCCAAACCTCCCCAGTGCGTTCCTCCCTCTCACCATGGGCCCTCCAGCTCAGAATGGCTACAGAACAGATAGAGGTGGGCTCAGAGTAGGGGCTCACCTTGCAGTGATGGGATCGGGGCCAGTACTCTAGGGGCATCCCTGAAACGGGGCCTCCTGAAACCCTCACTTGACCCATTTCCTTCTCAGGCATTGGAGGGGGTGTAAAACCCCACAAGCCAGGTGAGGCCCCACCCTGCCTGTCTGCCCTCATCATGCCACGACCCTCCCATTACTGTCTGCTCCTCCCTGATCCCCTTTTGCCTGCTCTCCCTAGGATTTGGGAATGGGAATGGGCCAGGAGCAGGGGCCTTCCCAGGTGTCTCAGCCCAGACAGGTGAGGGGGAGGAAGAGGGAGGGTAGGGCATGCTGGGGCCAGGGCTGGGGCAGCACTGGGAGGAGCTTCTCCCAGATTCCCCCAGGGCAGAACTGGTAACTCACTGGAAGCAGGGGGAAGGACCACACTTGGGTTCCTATTGTCCGGTTTCAGAACATCACCCCTCCCCCCATCTCAGCAGGGATTCCAAATACCCTCTGCCCCACCCCTCAGCTTAGCATGACTTTGGAGCCCTGGAAAGCAACTGGGTCCCTGGGGTCCCCTCATCTACTTTATCTCTCCCTCCAGGCTTTGGAGGGGGCGTGAAACCCCAGAAGCCAGGTAACACCCTGCTGTCCATGCCCACTTCTCTGTCAGCCTCAACATCTGCCTGCCTCCCTTCGAAGCCCAGACCCCTCCTTCCCCTTATTCTTCCCTCTGCTTCTGTCTGCCCAGGATATGGAAATGGGCTGGGAGCTGGCGCCTTCCCAGGGCTGGGAGCCCAGCCAGGTGAGGACACCTGGGGCACCACCCTAGGGTTCAGGGAGGGAGAAGGTTGAGGGCTGGAATCAGGGGGCCAGTGGGGGAGAGAGCTGGGTTCTTGAGGGAGGGCAGGAGGCTCAGTCTCTCTGTCCCTCCTCAGGCCCGGGAGGGGAAATGAAACCTTCGAAGCCAGGCAAGTAGAGAGCGTGCCCCCATTCTCGCACATTCCTTGCTTATTTCCATCCCAGTTCCTCTGCGTGCCAAAAACCTGGGCTTACAGCCCCCACCCCTGTATCCCCAGGATTTGGGAGCAGAAATGGCTTAGGAGTCAGCACTTTTCCAGGGGCGGGAGCACTGCCAGGTGAGGGTGCTTAGGGCAGTGGCTGCAGGCAAGGGGGAGGGGGTTTCGGGGTCAGGATCTGCGTTCTGGGGGAGGGGAGCTGGTGGGAGTCAGTGCCAACCTCCTTCCCTGTCTCTCTCCAGGCCTGGGAGTGGGAATGAGACCCCAGAAGCCAGGTGAGTGGAGAGACTCACCCTCTCACCCTGTGGCACCATGGCTCTTAGGGACTGCTCCCTTTGTTGGGCTGCCGTGGCCACTGCTAGGCTCCAGCCGTGGTCTTGGGGAGGGTCTTCCAAACTTCCAGGCCCTTCTCTTAACTTGCTCCCTGAGAAGGGCTGTTGGGGAGGGTGGGGCACAGAGGTCCGGGGATGAGGACAGCGTGGAAGGAAGGTGCGAAGCCCACACTGGCCCGGCTCCAGCCTCTGCCCTCCCTCTCTCCACAGGCCCTGCACATCAGAATGGTGGCCAGGGACCAGGTAGGGGAGGATGGTGAGAACTGGGGCATGTGCTAGCGTCTGGGGGTATAGGAGAGCTCCAGGCTCTTTTACCTGGTCCCTGTCTCTTACTCAGGAATTGGAGGGGGTGTGAAACCCCAGAAGCCAGGTGAGCTCCACCCTGCCCCTGTGTCCCTGGTTCCTCTTTTCCATCCATCCCCATCCACCCCTGTGCTGCACGGCCTCCCCTTAACTCCTTCTTGCCCGCTCTCCGCAGGATTTGTCCGTGGGAATGGGATGGGAGCCAGGGCTTTCCCAGGAGGCGAAGCGCAGCCAGGTGAGGATACCTGGACCAAACTGGGGTTCAAGGAAGGAAAAAGAAGGAGGAGCTGAGTGATGGGGGGCAGAAAATGGATTCCTGTGGAGCAGGGTCCACTGACAGCTCAGTGGCACTTGGTCTTTCCCCAGGCTTGGGAGGGGACATGAAACTGCAGAAACCAGGTGAGCGAAGACCTGTCCTCCTGCCCCGCTTTTTTGACTCTGTCCCTCCCTACCCATTCCTCACACTGCTGCTCCTTTCCAGTGTATGGCATTGGCAATGGCCTGGGGCCCACTGGCAAAGCAGCAGGGAGAGGGGCTCAGAAAAAGAGGCCAGGGCCCTGTGCACCCCTCCCCAACCCTGGTTCCCAGCAGAGGGGCTCATTCACTTCTCCTGCCCTGAGTCGGTCTCGGCTGGGTACAGCAGGCATCGTGCTGGTCAACACGGACTGGGCCAAAGTCCCGAGGCTCAGCCCACAAGCCCAGAACCACACAAGCCCAATGCCATCTCGAGGACTGTGGTCAGGACTGTTGCTGGAGGGGGGGGGGGGCATGGGACATGGAAAGTGAGAGGGTGGGTCTGAGGCTGGGAGGGGGCTGGAGGCCTGGGGATTTAAGCAGAAAGTGAAAACCCTGGCTCTGGAAGCTGATGTTTATAGGGCTGGACTTCCTCGACTTCCTGGACTCACAGGAAGAAGCAGAGGGAGTTAGACTACCTGGGAGTCTCCGGGGCCAGGAACAGAGGGCAACTGTGAGGGGGGGTCGGGGCTCTAGTTCCGCACTGCCTCAGTCTCCCCGGTCCCCTTCCTGTCATAGGTCCCCTGTTACCTGTCCCCCTTTGTGAATCTAGCCAGGATAAATGGAGGGGTGGGGGAGGCCAGGAGCCATTTCCACCCCAGCAGCTCCCAGCTTTCCCAACAGGTCCCGCAGCACCGAATGGCTTTGGACCAGGTAAAGAAGGGACAGCTGGCGTATGTGGGTAGAAGCCAAGTTCCTGGGGCAGGATGGGGATTCTGGGTCCCTCACATGCTCCTCTCTTCCCAGGCTACGGCGGGGATGGAAAACCCCAGAAGCCAGGTGAGCCCACTCTGTCCCACATCTCCTTACCTGTCTGTTTTCCCCAAGTCCCAGATTGTTCCTTACTCCCTCCTGCTCTGTCTCCCCAGGATTTGGGAATGGGGCCTTCGTGGGAGCAGGCGCACAGCCAGGCAAGGCCCAGGAACTCGGGAGTATGAGTATCACTGCGGGGTTAGCTGATGTGGGTGCGTGACCTCAGTTCTAAAAGAAGAAAAGGAATGAGGTGGACTCATGGGCCGCACATTCTCTTTTCCAGGTCTCGGAGGACTAAAACCTCAGAAGCCAGGTGAGACCCACCTCTTCATCTTCCACTTGGTGTCCCGCAAAAAACAGTCATTCAGCAAACCTCCAGGGGCCTGCCAAGTACTGGAGACAGTCCCTCCCAGAGCCTGGGGCAGGGTCAGGCAGACAAGACAGGAGTATGAACGCAGCAGGGATCCAGACTGCCCACTAGAGGGCGTGGCCCACTGAAAACAAAATGATGGGGCGGCCATGGGGCTGGAGCTAATGAAGATACCATGGGGCTGGTAAGGGGAAGGAGGCATCAGGGAATTCACCTTCTTGGCTAGTTGACATGGCTGATGACAGTGACACTCAACTAGGTGGACACAGGCAATAAGATGTGCCATTCAGGCCCTAGAGGGAGGCTGGACAGCAGGGGGAGGTCCAGGACCCAGGTAGGTAGGTAGGTCAAGGTCTGGGGTGTGTGCTAAAGGGGCAAGCTTAGGGTCGAGCCTCAGAGAGAGACCAGCACTCAGCGCCCCCTTTCTCCTTCTACCAGGCCCTGCAGCTCAAAATGGCTATGGACCAGGTAGGGGCATCCTGGGATTCTGGGGAGGCACAGGGCCGGGGCTCAGGTTCCTCACCTGCTCCCTGCCTCTCCACCAGGCTTTGGAGCGCATGTGAAACCCCAGAAGCCAGGTGAGCCTCACCTCAGCCTGTTTCTCTCAGCCTCTCCCAAACCCTGAGCTCCCCTCCCCTTATTCACACCCCCACCTGGACCTGGACCCCCAGGATTGGGGAATGAGAATGGGTACAGGCTTGGAGCCCAGCCAGGTGAAGCTAGGCAGTGGGGTCTGTGTCTGGGTGTCTTCTCCTGCCCCCCTCCCAGGCCTTGGAGGGGCAGAATTGGGGAATAATTGAGCGGGTCCTGGGAGGAAGCGTCTCGGATGCCAGCTTTCTGGCTTGGTCCAAGAGGAGGGAACTTTACCTCCACTTCTGCCAGAACCCCAGTCCCTTCCGTTCATCCTCCCTTTCCCTTAGGCCCAGCAACCCCGAATGGATATGGAGCAGGTAGGAGTGGGGCAGGGAGGAATCTGGGGAGGCCCTGATAGGGGGCTCCCAAATCCCTCACCTGCTCCCAAATCATCTTCAGGCTTTGGGGCAGGCATGAAGCCCCAGAAGCCAGGTGAGTCCTTGTAGTCTTGCCTCTGAACCATAGTACTTCCTACTCACACTTCCCTATTTCTCTAGGATCTGCAAACAGCTGGGCCTTCCCTGGGGCAGGAGCCCAGGCTTCTTAGAGGGAAGCGGGGAGGGTGAGGAACTGGGGCAGGGGGCCTGGCCTGGGCCAGGGAGCTAGGTGCCCAGTAGTGAGGAATTGGATGGTGGGCCCGTGCCCCGGGAGGGGGAGTGAAACCTCAGTGTGGTAATAGCAGGGGGAGGGTGTGGGTAGAAGTGCAAGAGTGTAGAGGGGATAAATAATGATGGAAAAAAGGAAAAGAAAAGAGAAAAAAAATCTCAGAAACCAGGTTCTGGTGGGCCCTGGCCATGTAGCTCAGTTGGTCTGAGCGTCATTCTGATACACCAAGGTTGCAGGTTTGGACCCTGGTCAGGGCACGTAGAAAAAGCAAGCGATGAATGCAAAAATAAATAGAACAACATTCTCTCTCCTCCTTCCCCTCTCTAAAAAAAAAAAAACACACTAAGTAAAAATTAAAAAAAGAAAAAGAACCAGTTAAGCGGAGAGACCACCTGGTACCCCACCTCAGCTCTGAGGCTTCCGGCCTCTGTACTGCCTCTACACACTGCCCCTCATGCCCACCCTGTTTTGCCTCCCTAGGACGTGGTAATGGAAATGGCCTGGGAACCCGGCTAGGTGAGTGCAGCTGGGCCTGGGTCTTAAGGGATTGGGAGAGAGGCACAGGCACTCAGGCCCACAGAGGCTCCTTGCCTGGGGGCGGGGGTGGTGGGAGAAGCCCGGTGGAGTCTGTGTTAGCCTCTCCGTGCTCCCAGGCCTAGAAAGGGGTATGAAACCCCTTGGCCACGGTGAGAGGACAACTGTCCTGCCCCTCCTCATTTCTCTCAGGCCTCTCTCTTTCACCACCTCCCTCGACACTAAGAGCATTGCGTGGGGATCTGTGCATCACTCTGAGAAGAGGGGCACTACCTGCCTCCGGGGTGAAGGGGGTCAGGGGTACCGAGGACCATGGGGAGAGGAGTGGGAGGCAAAACCAAGGGACCCCCAGTGCTGGCCCCAGTCCCTCAGCCCTGAAGCCAGCTTTATCATTCCCCCACCTTATCCCTACAGGCCCTGCGACTCAAAATGGCTATGGACCAGATAGGAGTGGGCCAGGGTTCTGGTTGGGGGGGCGCAGGGATGGGGTGAGGATCCCTCAGCTGCTGTCTGTGTCTCCGCCAGGCTTTGGAGCAGGTGTGAAACCCCAGAAGCCAGGTGAGCCTCATCCCTGCCTGTCTCTCTCCACCTCTCCGAAACCCAGAGCTCCCCACACCCCACTCACACCCTACCGCTACCTGTTCCTGCAGGATTTTGGACCAGAAATGGGCAGGGAGCCCAGCCAGGTGAGACTGGTGGGGTCTGGGTGCAGGTTTGCATCTGGGTGCCCCCTCCCACTTCCCTCCAGGCTTGTGAGGTGCAGGATTGTTGAATGATTCAAAGAGGCTGGGGAAAGCCTCCACCATCACTGGTTCTAGCTCAGCTTTGAAGGAACACATTCCGGCCCCTCAAAGGGACCCCACCTTAGCTGGGGTCCCAAACCTCCTATTCTTCCTTCCCACCCCTACTGGCCCCCAGCTCAGAATGGCTACAGAGCAGGTAGGTACCGAGGGGTTGAGAGAAGCTGGAAAGGAGGCCATAGGGGGGGCCCTTGGGGAGGGGTAGTCTTCCCCCAGACCCTGTTCTGATGGTCCCCTCGTGGGCTCCTGCCACACTTGGAGAACTTAGAGTTGCCACAGGGCAGAGGAGGCCGCAGGGCAGCTAGTGGCTAAAACGGGAGAAAAGGAAGCCCAGCATCCAATCTCCGGCTGCCTTACCCTCTCCTGTCCCCATAGACCTTGCAGTTCCCATTGGCCGAGGACCAGGTAGTAGAGTGGGCAGGTAGTGGACTGAGCCTCCGGGGGCAAGATGCCAGGTTCTGGAGGAGAGCCCAGTGGGCGGGTAGCGGGTGCCTCACCGGCTTCCATCTCTCCTCTAGGCATTGGTGAGGGCATGAAACCTCAGAAGCCAGGTAAACCCTTTCTCTCTACCTCCACTGTGATATTGTGATTTATAATAAGAAGTATATATATTTGGTCTTCCTCCCATTCCTGGTACAGAGCTGGCTCCTAAAAGCTTTGGAATTTCCTAAATGCTGAGAGATAAATGTTTATTTGTTGTATTAATGAGGTGACTTTTGGAAAGCCCCTAAGTCACCTAAGGGTGGGGGCTGGTTGCCACTGGAACCCATGTTATGATTGGAGGGTTGCAGCCTCTGGGAGGAGGTGATGCTGGAGGAGTTCAATCACCAGTGGCCAGTGACGTAATCAGTCTTGCTTGTGTAATGAAGCCTCCATAAATACCCAAAGGACAGGGTTGGGACAGCTTCCTCCGAGGCTGGTGAAGGGTGGCGGGCGTGCAGGGAGAGTGGTGGGCGGGAGCATGGGAGCCCCGAGCGCCTTCCCACATACCTCATCCCATGCATGTTGGTCGTCGGGCTGTTTCTGAGTTGTATCTTTTATAATAAACCTGTGACCTAATAAGTGAACTGTTCTGAATTCTGGGAGCCACTCTAGACAATTAATTGAACCCAAAGAGGGGTTCTCGGGAAACTCTGATTTATATTGATGGTTGCTCAGAAGCACAGGTGACAGCCTGGCCTGGCAACTGGCACCCGAAGAGGGAGCAGGGCACAGTATTATGGGACTGAGCCCTTAACCTGTGGAATCTGATGCTACAGTGTAGCCAGGTAGCTAGTGTCAGGATTGAATTAAGTGGTAGGACACCCAGCTGGTATCCGAACATCGCTTGGTGGTGCTGGAAAACCCCCAGAACTGAAATTGGTACCAGAATCAGACCTGCTGCCACTCCTCTGTACCCCTAGGAACTTTCTACTCTCCGCCTCTTTCCCTCTCACAGCCCCCAGTCTGTCTCCCCAGTTTACAGGAATGGGCTGGGAGCCAGAGCCTTCTTCAGTGAAGGGACCCGGCCAGGTTGAGGGAGGCAGGGCAGGCCTGGCGTTCTGGGAGGTCGGGGAGGGTCTCACGGGGCAAAGAGTCGGGTCCCGAGGAAGAGAAGGGGCAGATGGCGTCCACCTGCCAGTCAGCCTCCGTCCGTCTCTCCCCAGGACTAGGAGGGGGCGTGAGCCCTCCAAAGCCAGGTGAGCCCATCCCTGCCTATCGCCCACCTGCACCTGAAGTCTCCCCAACCCCAACCCCCATCCTCATTCCTGCTCTTGCTCCCAGGATACACACCAGGGAGTGGGCTCGTACCAGGTGAGCACAGTAAGGGTGTCAGTAACTGAGAGAGAGGGCTCATGCCTAGGGTGGGGCTGGTCCCTTCTGAAGCCGTCTCTTTGTGTCTCCTACAGGTTTGGGAGGGGACGTGAGACCTCAGAAGCCAGGCAAGTGAGGGGACCCACTATTTCTGTATCTTCTTCTGCCTCTATTTCTGGGACCCCCACAACCCCCAAATACTATCACTCACGTCCCTGCTTTTTTTCTCCAGGATATGGCAATGGAAATGGGCTGGGGGCCCAGCCAGGTAAGGTGGCGCTGGAGTGCGGGCAGGAGGGAGGCGGGAGGGATGTCGCCGGAAGGCTGCGGGACTGGGTGGGCAAATAGCGGGAGCCATGGCAGAGGTAGGTCATCTGGTAGCCAGAGCAGGTTGTGACCCACAAAACCTGGTTTTTTCCTGACCTGGCCAGTGTCCACTCTTGGAAGCTCTGCCCTAGAAGCCACTGCAGGCTGGTACATTGGCCAGGCCAAGGTCAGGAGGGCAGCTGGGGTAGGCACCGGTCTGGGTTCACTGCCCCCTCTCCCTTCTTCTCCAATCCAGGTCCCTGCAGTGGGAAGGTCCCACCACTGCTTCTCCCCGGGCTTCCCACTCCGGGAGGCCCTTCTGAGAAAGCAGGTGGCTGGGGCCTGAAATCCCAGCCCCCTCCTCCAGTGCAGAATGGCAAGTTCCCAGGTCAGTGTGGAGGGTGGGGCAATTTGGGGGGGGTGTACCTGGTCCCAGGAGGGGCTGGGCCCGGCTGGGCTGCTCAGGAGCTCCCATGCCCTGTCTTCAGCTGCAACTGAGGCTCGTTGTGAGCCAGCTGAAGAAAAGCCTGAACTCTGGCTCTGAACCCCACGTGACCCCCAGTATGGCAGTTCCCCCAAGCCCCTACCCTGTGTCAGTCTGTGGCAATCTATGGCAGTCCCAACCCCGGCCCTGGGTTCACTCCTGTCCCCTGGCTTTCTTCCTAGCACCAACCCTAGCCGTCCGGTGGGGACCGAAACCCCAGAAAGCAGGTGTCAGTCTGTCTGTCTCTGTCCCCACACCAGACCGGGGTCAGTCCCCCATCACCCTTATTCCCAGGTGGCTTCAACTGTTCAGGCCTGGAAAGTTCCTCCCAAACCTGCCCTCCCTCTCTCTTGCTGCTCTCTAAACTCATTTCTTCTGATTCCTTTCCCCGTGGGTAGGGAGAACCCCTTCTTCTTCCTCAGAGTCCTTAAGACCCTGCTTGGGAAAGTCTGGGTCCTCCCCCACCAATTCCTGTTCCCCTCACAGGGCACCATCCTTTGAATGGCTACCGACCAGGAGCAGCACTGGGTGAGGAGGCCCTTTGTCTGAGTTCTTCTTCCTCCAGCCCCATCTTCCCCACTGTGACCATTTCTGATCCCCACCACCACCCCTCAACCCCTTTTTCCTTTGCCACAGGCTTTGGTGATGGCCTCAAACCTCAGAAAGTTGGTGAGTGGTGAGCCCCCAAGGCCCTCATCTCGAGCATGAGCTCACACCTCCCTCATGGCAAGCCCTCCTTGTCGCTGTCTTTTCGCGTCTTTGTCTCTTCCTTTATTCACCTAGTGCAGATTTACTATGCACTGGGCTATAATGGTGGCCATTATCTCAGGGGAGGGTAGAGTAACAGACTGAGGCCAGTTGGAAAAGGAAGCCACCCAGAGAGAAGTCAGGGAAGGTTTCCAGACGGTTGTGCAGGCTTAGCTTGCGGAGCGGGGGGGGGGGGGGGGAGGATGTGAGCATCCCTCTCTGGATGGTGTCTGAGTCAGTCTGTTTATCTGTCCATGAGCCGGTCACCCTGGCCTCCCCAGTGCTGTCTACCCTGCCCTACCCCAGCCCTTCTCCAATCTCTCTCCTGCAGGTTTTAGTTACAGGAACTCTGGTCTGGGAGCTGGGGTTTTCCCTGAGGTCCTCCTGCAGCCAGGTGCCGGGGGTTGGGGTTGGGGAGGCTTGGGGGGCTCCAGGCTCCGAGGCTGTTCAGGCCCGACCTCTTTCCTCTTCCAGGGTTCCCTGGGGCCAATGGTTTTAGGAACGGTGAGTTGGACCCAGGGGACATAATACAGGGGCTGAGGGGAAGGGACATCCAGGAGCTGGGCAGGAATGAAGCACATGGATCTCTTGCAGGGTATAGCGAGGAAGCCCTGGTGTACCCCAATGCTGCAGCTCCAGCCTCTGAAGGAAATGGTAAGAAATGAGAGCTCAGGGAGCAGAGTGAACCCTGGCAAGGGCTGTTGGGACCAGGTCAAGTGGATGGGGGTGGGGCTCTGAGGCCCTGAGAGGACTGGAGGTGTCCTGAATGTCCAGGGACTCCCATGCCAGCTGTCCCTCTGCAGATCAGACTGAGGCTCTGAGGGACTCTCCTTGGCCCTCCCTCCAGCCCTGGGCCAGGAGTGGGGAGGGGGGCGGGCGGGGGGGGTGCATCTTGAAGCCTGATATGGGGCCAGAGGCACATATATAGGGGTTTCAAGCCAGCCAGTTAATGGGGCATACGTAGAACAACATGGAGGGGGTGAGGGGTGGCTTTAGGGACATGGGTCCTAGGCCCAGGACCACCCCACAACCCTGCAGAGATGGAAGGAACATTCATGGTGGAGGGAATGTGAGGGGGACAGGAATGGATGGGGTTGGAGGAGAGACAGGTTGAGCAGTAGGCCCTGAGCACAGCCTGGTACCTACTCTAAAGAGAGGGAGCCGACAGATAAGAACAAGGGCCATCGGGGTCTCTGTGCTCCCACCTTCTGTCCTTTCCCCAGGGCCCTATGAGCAGCTGAGGCCAGAGCTGGGCCCCAGGCCTTTTGGTAAGTGGGGGTCTCCCAAGGCCCAGGGCGAAGCTGGGGGTAACAGGAGCACTCAGAAGTTCTGTGACCTGGGTCCCCTGGCTTGTCTGTCTGTACCTTAGGGGGCCCTGAGGTGAAGTGAGGCAGCAGTGGCTTGCTGGAAAATAGCTATGGAGGTGAGAGGGAGCACACTGGCCCTGTCCCCCACTCTACCAGTGCCACCGCCATGGTCACCTCTTCAGGCTGCACTTGGGGATGTCCCCAGTCCTTGGGAGGAATGGCAGGCTCTCAGACCACATGTAGGTTTCTGAGTGATGGGCCTCAGAGATAAGAGGAGGGAGAGGGCTGAGTCTCCCCCAGGAGGTGAGGAGGGGGTACCTCAACAGGTCCCTGCTCTGCCTCTCCCCAGGCCTTTGTCCTCTCGGGAAATGCTGAGCACCCGAGCTGATCCACCGCCCATCCTGAGCACCTCTGTGCCAGAGCCTCGTCTGCTTGGCAAGCACAGCCAGACGACTCCTGGGATTGGTCTCTGGCCTGGGGTCTCGGGGGGCTGAAAGTATTAATAAAGGCAATGTGCTTCTGTTTGCCTCTGTGTGCTGTGGTAGAGTTGGGGTAGGGGATGGGCATTGGCTGCCTGAGGTTAGGGCCACATGGGCCTACAGCCTCTACCCTGCACCTCATTCATTCACACTACAAATAGTGTGGCTGTGTGCCAGGGGCTTTGCTCTGATGTGAGAGACCATGAAAACAGAACAGATTCAGCTCTGCCCCTGGAGAGGGGGCATCCTGCCACGTCCACAGTTGGATCCCTTCCTTGACAGAGTCAGGAGGGGAGGTCCAAGACTTCAAAGAAGCATTTTCCAACCTGGTGGACGTGGCATGGAGGGCCCTGCTATACCCATTGTGATTGTTCTTGTTTTGGGGATTTTGACCTCTTCCGCCCTGATTATTTTGAATACCACTGCTGTGATCCAAATAGCACAAGCAGATCTTTCCCTGTTCACTGAACAAAGTAATAATATTTCAGAAAGTACATCGACCCTGTTCACTAAACAAAGCAATAATACTTTAGAAAGTACATTGAGTGATGTGACTCCAGATGATTTAGAGAGTTCTTGGAACAAAGAAAGTAACCATAGTAACACACCAGAAGAAATCAGGAAGCAAAATATGAGTATTGGAGAATTAATAGAAAAGTTAGAAAAGATCACCCTTGAAAGCCCCCTACTACGACAGGATAGCCCCATGAGACAAAGGATTCTCCCGGAACCTACAAAAACACTGAGAAAAATCCCACCTACTATTAAAACTCCATGGGGACCTGCATATTTTATTAAGGCCAGACCTTGGTATCCCCCTAAGGGACAGCGAAGTCTCTAGCCTGTCCCAACGCCACCTAAACCTACACTTCCTTATCATAGAGTCTGGGATGAGGACGGAGTTAAATGGGTTTCTAAAAACAGTAATAATATAACGACAAGAAGCCTACCCTTCTTAGAGAGACTTGCAAGAAGTGATAGCACACCACAAAAATGCATGACAGCACAAAGAAAACTAGAAGTTAGAAAAAGCCTCATAAGATATTTTTCCGGGCCATGGTACCTTACATACTGGCCTGAGAAGAGAGAACAAATATTAAAAGAAATAAAAGAATTAGAACCCCTAACAAAAGAGGAAATAAGGAAGGGCATAGACAAGTACACAAGTCAACCAGGAGGGCATGTTTACCCCCCCGAGTCAATTTTAGACATACCTAATACGCAGAATAAGAATAGGCCCCCTGCCACAGCCTAACCAAGGCAGACAGCCAAGTTCCTGTTCAGACCAAGAAGCATAAGCAACAGTAACTGCAAAAGCCAACGAATCTGAAATCGCTTGCCAGCTAGAATAGTACAAAAGCTTCAGCCTTACTTTCAATAAAGGTCTTCAGAGCATCACCTGCCTTGAACTGCGTAGTTGCCTGATTTCCGCGCCGACTCCTACCTTCACCTCGAGGGGACCCTTAGACCCGCTGCGGCTGGACCGCGGCAGCATCCCTTGGTAACAATCTTGTTGGGGAATACCTCCAAGTTAGGGGACTTGTGTATTATTTGTGTATTAGTTTCTTAAGCCTTTACATTTACTTCTGGACATTATTGTACTGATTAATCTTATACTTTGAATGTAAAACTTGCTTTCACATTCTTTGATTAATGTTCAATTAGATTATAAATTTGACAGATTGATGCCCCCTTAAATCTTTTACATTCCTTACAAGCCTGATTCTAATTCAATTCCCTTAGCATTTCAAACAATTACATACATAAGCTACTTGATCTCATCTTCCTAAGCACTGTTGGAAAGGAATAAATCAGACATTTGATATCTCAGATTAATGAATATTTACAACACCATTAAAACAGAGGGGAAGGGAAGAAAAAGGGGAAGAAACCCCCCCCCCCAGCCAGGAAACATCTTAAAGAGCTAGTTACTAATCTACTACCAGTACCAGTGCTACAGCATCACTTTATTTTCTTATCTCATGATAAAAAATTTACTCACCCAGAAATGCAGAAGCCAATTACTCTCCAGGCTGGGCCTGGAATGGAGGTTGCACAATTGGGGATTGATCTGCTATTCTGAACTTTGACCTAGAGCCTGGCCAGTCCCAGGATCGGTCTCTACGAGTCTCTGTGTTCTGAGTTTTCCCAAATCCACACCTCTTGTGATCTGGTGAGTTGTTTTGTTTTTAAATCCTCACCCAAAGACATTTTTTTAATTGCTTTTAGAGAGAGAGGAAGGGAAAGAGAAACACAGATGCAAGAGAGAAGCATCTACTGGTTGCGTCCCGTCAAGTGCCCAGACCTAGGATGTATATACCCAGACAAGGGACCAAACCCACAACCTAGAAAGGGTTAGGAACCAACATCTGGGCACAGGGGCCACTGAGCAGACTGTCTCAGTGAGGGTAGTGAATGGTACCTTCCTAACACACCTAGAAATGTTCTAATATTATAATAAAGGTTTCTAAATAAAGGTTTCTAAATTCCTATATTAAATAGAATGAACATATTTGAAATGATTTTACCTATCATAGCACCATTAACATTTGCTACATGTCGAGCTCTGCTTTTGAATTAATATCGTTTTATCTTTTCTGTAAGATAACTGAGTGCACATCTGCCTAGATCTTGACCCACATGCAGGCATTTCAGTCCGGAATCACTAAAAGGGGAGAGCCACAGTTTCATTATTGGCCACTGAGGGAGGCGGGGCAGGGTACCAGAGGGAGTAGCCCCAGCTCCGTGGACCCTCCTGCCAGGAGGGGGCGCCCACCAAATGCAGCGCTTGGTCTCAGGGATAGTAAGCTGTGGAAGACACAGCCTCCGGTGAACACAGTGATTGGCTGTAACATAAGATAGAAAGCGCTATTGCCTCTGATTGGCTGCCAGGGGTATCTAGTGCCAGCCAACGCGTGAGACAGTAGATCATTAGCGCATTTGCTCTTGATTGGCTGGAACCCCGAAGGATGCGGTTCTGATTGGCCTGTCCGAAGTCTGCCAGCGTGGCCTCCGGCGGGAGGGATGAGGCCACGACTGACGGTGCCCGGGCAAGTGCAGTGACGGCAGCGACTACAACAACCAAGCTGGCAGCGCGGCTCCCCCGCTCCCGCTCGCACCCGCGGCTTGTCCGCACCCGCGCCCACTCGCGGCTGGGCCGGGCCCGTGCGTCACTATCACTGACCCAGCCGCCCACACCGACCCTGCCGCACCCACCGCTACCCGGCTTGCCTCCGGGTCTGAGACCCGAGCCCCCACCGTCCTCGGCGCTAGCCCTGGCCGAGCTGCCTCCGCTGCCTGCACTCCCGTTACGGCCTGAGCCGCTGGCACCTTGGGGCCCCGGAGCCTACCTCGCACTGCCCGAGCTACCGCCCGAGGCTTGCGCGCCCGAGCCGCCCGCTGCGGCTCTCGCCCTGCAGGACCTCCCACGCCTGCCTGCGCCCGCGCCGCCGCCCGCACACTTGCCGCTGCCGCCGCTGCCGGAGACCGCAATCGTCGCCACTCCCGGGCCTGTGGGCGCGCGTGGCCATCCGCCACTGGTAGCCGAGACGCCCCCACAACCGCTGCCGCCGCTGCCCGCACGGCCCTCATCTTTCAGCCTACTGGCGCCGCCTGTGCCCTGCGACCCCTGGCCACTGCCCCCTTTCTCACCTCCCCTGCCGCCAGCACTGCCACCACCTCACTTCTTCTATCGCCGCCCTGTTGACAGTCCAGCTCTCCAGTGGACGAGTGGGTAGGCAGCCCACCCTGGACACGGGGCTTTGCCTCTCACCGCCTTCCCCACGGACAGATCTAGAAGGCGTGGAGCAGAGCCTGGCCTGGGGAAGAGGGGTCTGCCAGGGGAGGAGCCCGGTTTGGGGGGAGGAAGCAGTAAGTCTGAAAATAAACTCATTTATTCCATTTTCTTCTGCCCTACAGCAAGCCTCTTGTCTCGTTATTTGAGAATGTAACTCATCCCCTGTGCTGATAAGCTGGGTGGTGATCCGGGCGGGTGGGGCTCCAGGGCACAGCATGAGGTTTGAGGAAATGAAAACAAAAGTTTAAAATATTTTAACTAAAGTTAAATATTTCACTCTCTCTTTTTCACTCTCTTGTGAAATATTTCATTTTCACTCTCTCTCTTTTTTCTTTTTGCTACTATTGTTTCCATTTGGTCCAATGCATGAAAGAGGTTTCTAGGGTGGTTAAAAGGATGGATGCCTAATGGTTTCAGGGAGAGGCTCAGGCAAAAGCCAGACACAGGAGAATGCCGAGGGGCTCCTCAAAGACGTCTTGGCTCCAGAGGCTCCTAGGTGGTTGAGAGTGAGCCAGAGATCCTCGCCCAGCCCAGCTTGGGGGCTGGATAGCCTGTGGAGGTTAGTCAGGTGGTCGCCCATCTTGATGGTTTTAGCTTCTCATCCAAGAAGTGGTTCTCCAGAAAGCGACAGAGATGACACTCTGTGTCGGTAGAACCCAGGGCAGGCAAATCCAAAAGCTCTTGGTTCAGGTCCTTCTTCATGATCGCAGCATCTTGAGTTTTACCCCAGTCCTCTTGGGAAGGCTTTAGCATGTCCTGGAAGAGTACTCAGCCACTGCGCTGGGTTTGCATCTTTAATAGAAATTTGGTGTCCTCAAGCTTCTCCTCAGCCAACTTGTGGAAGAAGTGGCCCATGCCCTCCAGAGCCATATCAAGGTCAAAACAGAAGCCCAGAGAGAGGTAGCTGTAGGAGGCCTACCGATGCACCTTCACCAAGTGGTTCACAGCATTCTCCACCTGGGTGGAATAATTCTGATGAATTTGGGAGCTCATGGTTGTTTGGCAATAAGAAGTTAAGGTAAACAAACAAACAAACAAACAACTGTGTTGGCTGTTCCAGGAAGCTGAGGAAGGCCGAGGTGGTTCTGAGGTGGTGATTGGCAAAGAGGTTGGAGGGGCTGTGGCCGGGTGGCTTAGTTGGTTAGAGCATCATCCTGATATGCCAAGGTTGTGGGCTTGAGTCTCCATCATGGCACATATAAGAATCAGACAGTGAATGCATGAATA